CCATACATTGCTCCTTATCCTGCCCTCAGCTGCTTTGGAGAATAGATTGATTCCCTTTTCTTTATGGCAACCCCTTAGATATTGGAATACTGCTATCAGATCACTCCTAGTCGTTCTTTTCATTAAACTAGGCATACACTATTCCAGCAACTGTTTTTTATATGTTTTAGCCTCCAGTCCCCTAATCATCTTTGTTGCTCTTTTCCATACTCTTTCTAGAGTCTCAACATCTTTTTTATATTGTGACGATCAAAACAGGATGCAGTATTCCAAGTGTGTTCTTACAAAGGCATTACAAAGTGATATTATCCCATGATCTTGATTCTTTCTCTCTATTAATGCAGCATAGAACTGCATTGGCTTAACATAACAAATTTATTTATTATGAATGTCAATTTGACTTCTTTCACCATTTCGTAAAAATCAAAAGGTAACCTCATGTAAATAAAGACAAAGCACTAAATCTATCATGGAATGAGAAAAGAGTGAAAACTAACAATGAAGAAAAATCACAATCTAGTTTTAATTATCTTTGTTCATTTCCCTATATATAATTGTAGTATTAAATTTAATATTCATTATATTCCTGTGAACTATGAAAAAGCACTGGCTATGTTGAAAATGAAATTCTTTTCCAAAGCTACTTAAGACAGGATTTAGCTAACTCTTCATGTTTTGTTAAACAACCTTGTGTTATTAAATGCTTAGGTTTCTGCATATCCCTTTACATATTTTCTTTTTGGCACAAAAGTGTTGGATTTTGACTTTTTTAAAAATAAAAATGATTATTTTCCTATTTGCATTTACATTTAATTTCATATTACATGTATATACTATCTAGAAGGTTTACGTAATGCAATAGGCAAAAAGTACTGAATACAATATAAAATAACAATGTTGATTGGCCAACTTAATAGAAACATTAAAAACATGCAGATGCCAAAATGATTACTATAAAAAAATTCTTGATGGACCTGAACTATAGCTATGATTTATATTTAAGTGGAAGGGGCTACTGAAAGTACAAATATCCATAGGACATGGAAAAGGTAGGAAGATCTATGATCAGGTCTGCAATAGTCTACAATCTGTATGAATTTTTATGAATGAATATGAAGAAGGCATTATCTCTGATATTCTGTTTCAAATTTCTTAGGATTAGAGGTTATGGTGACCAATCTAAAGTACTAGGGCTATTTTAGGCAAGTCTTAGCTTAATGTAAAACAATAATAACTATTTCTCTTAGGGCATTTCCTAGAAGACAAAGAATTTATGACCTCAGTTTGTTTAAATCTCAGTAATACTTTCCTTTCTTAGGGGGAGCCTGGAACCCCAACAGAGCGTGTCCCCAGGTGGCAGATTGGAGGCCCTACCCATTATGAGTCTTATGCTATAATAGCAGGTTAGAGGGAATCAAATACCTCCCGTGGATCAACAGGCCTGTTGAGTGGCAGTTGGCTCCCCAGTATCGACTGAAGGCAGAGACCATATTGGTTGGAACGGCTTTAGAAGAACAGAAAATGGTGTGGTGGCAGCCACTTGAACAGCGTGTGCACAGCGGTGTAGAAAGCACAGGGAAAACTACTATGCTATATATTTCCCAGGAAAATCATGTGAATGGTGGCAAAACCTAACAATGGCCCTGAATACGGGCACCCTAAATGGGGCAGGGCTGCTAGGAATCTCCCAGAAGCATGATAAACCCAAAACTACAAATTGATACATGGAATCTGAGAAGCCTATACCAAGCTGGGAAAACACACAACACTATCTAAGAAATGTCCAAATACAATATCACTATATTGGGAGTGAACGAAATGTGCTGGCCTGAAAATGGAATATGTAGAATAGGAAATTATACTATCTACTACTCTGGTGAGAATAGCAAAAACCATTGAAATGGAGTAGCTATAATCGTAAATAATCTTGTAAATAAATGCATCAAGTCCTTTATTCCTGTATCTGATAGAGCAGTGGTTCTCAACCTTTCTAATGCCGTGACCCCATAATACAGTTCCCCATGTTGTGGTGACCCCCAAGTGGGTGTGGCCACCAATAAGAGGGAGTAGGACAGCTAGGGAAAAGGGAACAAAATGGTGGACAGCATGGTTTGGCGACCCCCATGAAATGGTCGTTCGACCCCAAATGGGGTCCCGACCCACAGGTTGAGAACCACTGTGATAGAGTGATGATGATCCAAATAAATAGTAAATTTAAATATGAATGTTATACAAGTTTAAGCTCCCACAGCTGACAGTGATGAGGAGGATTTAAAGAAGTTCTATGAAGATATAAGCAGTTTACTGAAAACTCTAAAAAGTAATGATATCACAATACTCATGGGGGACTTCAGTGCAAAAGTGGGAGAAGGAAATGATTCTCCTGTAGTTGGAATTTTGGTTTAGGAACCAGAAATGGTAGAGGTGACAGATTTGTAGACTTCTGCAAGGATCATAGGCAATGTGTGATGAATACTTTTTTTAAGTTGCCAAAAAGATGCCTCTGCACTTGGAGATCACCAGCAGATACACAAAATAATATAGTAAGGAACCAAATTGACTATTTAACAATAAACAAAAGATTTAGAAACTCAGTAACATCAGTAAAGACATACCCAGGTGCAGATGTACCATCCGATCATAATCTACTACTTGCTGAAGTCCAGGTGAAACTAAAAACCCGAATCCTGCTAAACCAAGAATTGACAGAGACTTCATCATTAAACATGGAGTTAAGATAAAAGAAGAATTAGAAAATCATTTAAGAGAAACCAACAACCTGAATGATGAAGATGTAGAAGTGAACTGGAATAAATTTAAAAATGCAATAGTAGAGGTAACAAATTCAAAACAGAGAGAGCGGTACCACAAGAAACAATAGTGAATGACAGAGGAAATTCTTCATCTTATGGATGAAAGAAGATCTTATAAAAATAAAAACAAAGAAAAATACAATGAATTGCAGAAAACAATTAGAAGAAATATTCAATTGGCAGAAGAAAGTGGTTTGCAAAAAAATGCAAGGAAATAGAAGAGACAGAACGTATGCATGATAATTTCAATTTACACAAAAGGCCTCTACAAAAAGAAAACCGACAACTTAGTTAACAAAGAGGAGAAAATTATCTTAGATGAGGATGAAAAACTAAAAAGATAGAAGGAATATATCGAAGAACTTTTTGAGGATATTAGGGATGATATAAATATGGGAAGTATAACAACTGGACCAGACATCACTATGGAAAAGGTTGAACATGCAATAAAAATAGCAAAAACAAGAAAAGCCACAGGACCTGATGATATCCCAGTAGAAATTTTAAAATTGCTGGAAGACAATGGGAAGAATTTTTTACTGCAGCTCTTCAATCAAATATATGAAACAGGAAAGATACCAAATGATTGGCTAAAATCAACCTTTGTGACAATCCCCCAAAAAATAAATGCAAAGAAGTGTACTGAATACAGAACAATAACCTTAATAAGTCATGCTCTGAAAATATTCCTGAGAATAATTCACACAAAAATATACTAGGTAACACATACTTTGGTTTCAGAAACAATCTTGGTACATGAGATGTGCTATTCAGCATTCAGGTTCTTGCACAGCATTGCAGAGATGTTAATCACAGTGTTTACATGTGCTTCATTGTTTGAAAAAAGCATTTGATAAAATTAGACACAGCAAACTATTAGAAATCCTGACTAGATGACAAAGACATCCAAATCATAAAGAATCTATATTGGCATCAGGTAGCAAATGTGAGACTAGGCCAAAAATATTCAGCTGATGCAGAAATATGAAGAAGGATCAGACAAGGATGTATTCTGTCTCCACTGTTGTTCAATATCTACTCTGAGTCAATCTTCAACAAGGCACTGGAGAACATCGATGCTGGCATCAAAGTAAATGGTATTTGGATCAACAATTTAAGATATGCTGACGATACAGTTCTGCTTCCGAATAAGCATGAAGACCTTCAGCTCCTCATCAACAGAATCACAGAAATATCTGAAAAATATGGCTTGAAGCTTAACACCTCAAAAACCAAGATCATGGTTGTCAGCAAACAACCCCTTAATTTACTACCAATAAATTCTGAAGGAATACCATTAGAAAAAGTTGAAAGAATCACGGACCTCGGTTCTAATTTACATGAAAGCTGGGACATGACCACTGAAGTAAAGCAAGAATGCTCAAACAGCATTCTTCAAAATGAAAAAGATCCTCTGCAGTCACGACATAAGCCTAAGATTGAAAATCAGGCTTGTGAGATCTTATATTTTTTCTATCCTTCTCTATGGAGTAGAGAGTTGGTCTCTGACAGAAGGCCACCTGAAGAGACTAGAAGCATTTGAAATGTGGATTTACAGGCAGTTGTTACATATAAGCTGGGTTGACAAGATCAGAAATGAGGAGGTGATAAGCAGCCTGGGAAAGCCAAGGGAAATCATCAAAACAATTAAAAAACAAAAATTAGAATATTTCGGACATGTGATGCGACACCCAGAAAAACATGGCATACTCCATTTAATCCTCCAGGGAAAGATTGAAGGCAAATGAGGTCCAGGCAGAAGAAGAACATCATGGCTTCAAAATCTAAGGGACTGCTTTGGACAAAACTCAGCAGCACTTTTTTGTGCAGCTGCTGATAAAAACATGATCGCCAACATGATTGCCAACGTCCGATAATGGATATGGTATAAGAAGAAGAAGAAGAATACTTTCCTGTTCTGACCATTTGTAGCATCTGAGATAATTGTAGTGTTGAAAAAACAGACAAGGTTACATTCAGCAAATCACTCAATAACCAACATCTTATTACCATCAAATCTTGCATTTGTATCTGCATTTGATATACTGTAGGCAGAAATGTTACTGACTATGGTATGAATAAGATTTTTTTTAAAAAAATCAAGTTTTTTTCAAAGATTCCAAAGAAATTCTTCATATGTTTGTCAACTGAAATCAGCAAGGATTAGTCACAATCAAACTAGTTAATGTTTAATTATAATTATTAATTATAATATAAATATACTGGCTTTTTGGAAACATCTTGTTTTTATGTCTTTCAACTTGAAGCTGCAGTTCAGTGCTGAGTTATCTGAAAATAAGAAGGGAAGGGAAGGGAAGGGAAGGGAAGGGAAGGGAAGGGAAGGGAAGAGAAGAGAAGAGAAGAGAAGAGAAGAGAAGAGAAGAGAAGAGATAAAGCTGCATGAAGTACTTAAGCTATCAAGATTGTCAACAACATGGTATCAACATTCTTAAAATATATAATTTTGATAAACAGGATATTTCGGAATCAGAATGAATTTAAATAAGAATTGTGTATATTTTTCTATATTTATAAATTAATGGGGGAACAGAGTGTAACTAATTCAGGACTGAACAGCATAGAAAAAAAGAATGAAATTATACTGATTCACTCACTCCTTTATGGAAATAAAAGTATATGTGTCTTAATTTTAAGTAGTTGTAGTATGATAGGCTGAGTATCATACAGTATATGTTCTCTTCTTAAGAAAGAAATGAAACACAAACCACAAAAAATTACCTGTAGCAATTCTTGGTACTTTTTCCATCTGCACATATAAAAAAAAAATCATAGTATTATGATAAGGCTAGAGATATATAGATTCAACATTGTAATCTGCTTCAAAATATTTTAGCAGATCCAATAGCAAATTGTCTCCAGACTCTACAATACATTGTATAATTTGGAATACTTTACATTTATAGATCAAAGCATAATTCAGAATGAGTCCACAATCCATTCAGAATATTAGCAGAGCCTGTGGAAATTTGCTAACTGAATCAATGTTCCTGTCTAAAAAAAAAAATTAATTTCAGGAGGTAATAAATCTGCATACAAGAGACTATACAAGTATAGCAAATTGTACAACACAGAATTTATCTTGATCAATCTCTGGATTTGGGCAATCTATGGCCTTCTTGATTTGCTGAACTGCAACTCCCATCATTCTTTATTACTGGTCATAAAGGGGAAGTTTGGTGAAAATTTGAGTTCCACATCATTCTAACTCTAATGCAGTGGTTCTCAACCTGTGGGTTGGGACCCCATTTGGGGTCGAACAACTATTTCATGGGGGTCGCCAAACAACGCAGTCCGCCATTTTTTCCCCTTTTTCTTAGCTGTGCTACTCCCTTTTATTCTATTGGCTTTTGAAAGCCAATAGAATAGACTCTCTTGAATAGAGTCTAATTCTATTGCTTTCAAAAGCCAATAGGAATTGTCCAGGCTGCCTCTGCCCTGCTGAACCCACCAAAAGTCCCATTCTGCAAACGGTGTTGCACCAGTTGAGTAGTCCTCGACTTACGACTGGTTGAGTAGTCCTCAACTTACGACCGGTTGGGGGTCGCGGCATTAAAAAGGTTGAGAACCACTGCTCTAATGATATATTGACTGTGCATCTAATTCAGTGACCTCCATATTAATGGACAATGAGCTCCAGTTCCATTTTTTTTTGCCAAACTTACTTAGAGATATATTTTCAAGCCATCTCTATAATCTATATTGTAAGAATAAATCTAAAGTAACAAAATAATCCTGATCATACTAAATTTGTATAAACAGCCACATGGTTGCTTTCTTATGTCAAAATTACTCTGTTCTATCAGGCACTTTTGGTACAAAATTAGGAACACCATAAGAAATGTTCATTTTAAAAAGAGCAGGTTGCTTTTGTACTTTTTCAGAATGGTTTGAATATCAGGAGATTTGGCAGAAAGAAAGTGTTTTTATTTCTTTGCTTTTAAGCCTATGAGATTGTGCAGAAGATATTATATTGGATAGATACCAGTCTCACAAAGTACAAACATGAGTTAGGTGATAAAGGAGTTTCTGAACTCCAGATGCTTTTAAGCCTTGCTTTTTAAAAAAATCTTAAGCAGATCTCTTAGAGTTGCATTATTTCTCTTTTCTCTACTTTCATAAGATATGTATTTTCTCTCTCCTCCCTTCTCTCTCTCACACACACATACACAGGATTATTAAATTCTAGCAATATCTCATGAGAAATTACAGCCAAAGCTCCTTGCAATTCACAGAATAAAATGCTTCCTTTTAAAAATACTAGCCCGATTCCACAAACAAAATAATAATAGTAAACTGAGTTTACTAGATTACTTGACCTCTTATCTCCATTCTGAGAATTTATTTTGAGTACAAATTAACATCCAGTTGCTATTATGTTGATGATGTCCTTCACCTCCTGTCGGAAGAGCCAGAGCATCAATAGGGTCAAAGCCAGCTAGCACAAATTTTTCCAGTAATTATTTTAAACTTTAAAATGTGTAATGATGTGTAAAATGAAATATTCTAGTTCTAATAATGTAAGGATAGTAAATTTTCTATAGCAGCTTCTAATAGTGGGGTGAAATTTTGTCTTGTTTGTGTCTAAAGATTGAATCATGGCAATTGGACCAAACTTCATTAATCTGAGATGTTTCATTGCTCATCCAAGCAACCTCATCAGTCAGAGCAAAATTAGGCAGAAAGTTATTGGAATGTACTAACTCTTGCCACATCAACTTCATACAAACTTCATACAAACAAAACCTTAGACACCTTTGGCCTGGATGATTGAGCCTTCATTGACATATTGCAATGCCTTTTGGGCAGAAAGCCCTGAAGTTGATAGGGCAAAAGTTGGTACATTCCAACGACTTTCTGACTCTCTGCTCTGACTGATGAAATTGCTTGGATGAGCAATGAAACATCCCAGATTAATGAAGTTTGGTCCATGATTCAACCTTTAGATATCTTTGGCTTGAATGATTGGGTCTTCACTGACGTATCTGCCAGCATATTTTCAAAACAATGAGACCCCTGAGGACACCATACCAGGATATACATTTAAAACGCAAATGGGGAGAGAAGTCAAGAAGAGAAAATAGGAAACAAAAAAGCTAAGGCATTTTTGTTAAATGGCTTAGGTACTATTACTGTACCTAAGGTGCTATAATTGGTGAGTGTTCCTACAGTAATGTTAAATGCTTTCCTCAGGAATATTTTGGAAAATAGAAGTAGTCCTTGGGATTCATTACCTTTTTAAAGATAATTTAAAATTATCCCATATTCTAAGGATAGTTAAGGAGAATTAAGGAGAAGGGGAAAAAAGCTAATAAAATTTAAACTGTTTTTCAATTTTTATCCAATTATGGTTCCTTTTATCGGTGTATTTTTAATTCTTCTTGTCTGAATTGTTATTATTGTATGCTTTGTTTGGATAAGCAGCTAGGTGGATTCTGGGACAGTATGCATTTTTTTTCTGATCCAATATATAAAATAAAAGATTTTCAGTCCAGAGGTCCTTAACATATATATAAATAGTTAGGCATTAAAAATCATAAGCCTAACAACTCTATCAAGTTTAAAGACTAAATATTAATTTTGTCATACTATTTTGTTGCCTATGTCACTCCTATTTCTGCTTTGTACCTAAATTAAGGGAATATTATTTCAACGAAGGGTTGTTTAGCTTATATAGTATTCTCACCTTTTTTTGTGTGCTGAAAATTACACTTAACCTCTGATTTGCAATTGAAAAGCCTTAGAGACAAACCAATGTCATATTGATTTCAGCAGGAAGTGATTTCTAGGGGATAGAAATGCAACCACAAACAAAATGATAAAGCTATTACATAAATCTATGTGAATGTGAATATCTGAGTAGGTTTCACAGAAATCAATGATAATTACATCTGAGAATTATACAATTAATTAGCTATGTTTTTAGTACTCAGAAAACTCTTACTATGTTTCCCTGAAAATAAGACCCGGTCTTATATCTTTTTGGCACCAAAAGAAGCATTAGGCCTTATTTTTGGGGAAACATAGTATCCTGCTTAGCACGATGTGTGAATTTAGCTATTGTGTTTTTTGGATATCAATAGATAGTTAATGAATTTATATTTATATCCCAAATTAATTTCTGTTAGGCTTTGAGTGTTGGATAGTCTTGAAAATGTCCCAAACCATTTAACTTCTTCTGAGTCCGCAGAAGGGATGTTATAGCTTTTTTTTTTTTTGCTTCTATTGTAAATGGGAGTAAAAATATAGGTAATCCTAGACATACAACCACTTGTTTAGTGACAATTTAAGGTTACAGTGGCATTGAAAAAAGTGACATGTGATCAGTCCTCACATTTATAACTGTAGTATTCTCACAGTCAGATGATCAAAATTCAGATGCTTGGCAACTATCATGTATTCACAAGGGCTGCAACATTTCAGAGTCATGTGATTATCATCTGTGACCTTCCCAGCTGATGTCTGACAAACAAAGTCAATGGGGGAAACTGGATTCTCTTAACAACTGCATGATTCACTTAACAACTGCAGTGATTTGCTTAACCACCATGGCAAACAGGTTGAAAAATCAAGCAGGACTTATTTAATAATCAATTTGCTTCGCAACAGAAATTCTATTCCCAATTGCAATCAAAAGTCAAGGACTATCTGTATACTACAATTCAATATAAATGACAAAAGCAAAGGTCTTAATAATTAAAGATAAGCAAAAAAATAGAAAGATGACACAATCTTAAAGTTGAATATAATTCACAAATATAAAATATTTAGTATTTTTTGTGATGTCTTTAAGGTTGCCTAAGACCTTTTAATAGTTTTGCTGTACATGAGTGTTATGTCCTGAGCCTGTGCAAGCAGGCTCGGGGCATTGCAGGCGGTCCCGGGCAGGTGCAAGCTGCCCGGGACCAGACAGGCTGTCGCCAGTACTTGTGCGCATGCGCAAGTGCTGGCGCACCAAAAGTTGCAGATTGACCCGGGAATGGCCTATAAAAGAGGCCGGGAGTTTTGGGTGTTGTCGGCGTCTTGTAACCAGTATGCTCAACTGAAATAAAGAAGTTCCTGAGAACTACACTTGCTTCTCGTGTCTTGCCATTTCGCGAAGGACGCAACACTGGCGACGAAGGTGGGATGCCTTACATCGACAGAAGAAAGGTGTAAGCTTACCCGAGGAGTCCTGAGTGGCAGGAACGGCATTGACTCAGCAGCTACCCGCCAATCCAGCGAGCATCGGGGGTAGGCTGGCTGATAGACCCTTCCTTTCTACAAAATGGCAAAAATTGGAAGGCTTCGGAATTCGACATCTCATATCCGGAGAGGTGGGAGTCCTACGTAGCCAGGGTGGAAAACTATCTCAAGGTAAATCAAGTAAGGGAAGATAGTTTAAAGGCTGCCACCCTGCTGTGCGTTTGCGGTCAAGATGCATTTGAAATCGCTGAGAACATTGCAGCACCTGTTCCTCTAGAATCTGTCAGCTACGCAGATCTAAAAAAGCTATTGAAGGAGCACTTCCAGTCCAAGTTGTCCGTCATCGCATGGCACCACACCTTCGAACAGAGGGATCAATGACCCGGAGAATCGGCCAAGGAATACATTGCCACGCTGAGAAAAGCCGCTAAACACTGCGAGTTCAAGGACCTCGAAGAACGACTGAGAGACAGATTTGTATGCGGACTAAGGCATAGAGAGTTACAGCAGAGACCTTTTGCCAAAGAAGACTTATCATTCCAAGATGCCTTGAGAGAGGTCACTGCAGAAGAAGCAGCGGGTGGCGCCATCAAAAACATGCGGCCGATCAAAAGCATTCCAGATGCTGCGTCCGTGCACCAGGAAGGAGTCCAAAGGAACTCTGAGGAAGATCCTGACAATGAAGTGGACTGTCTCTACCCCACGAAGGAAGGGAAACAGAAAGGAAGCTTTTCAGCTCTCCCCAAGTGCCTCGGTTGTGGAGGTCGCCACAAGAGAACCGACTGCAAGTTCCGCTCCGCTATCTGCAGGGCATGCGGAAAACAAGGACACATTGCAGCTGTGTGCCTGGGCCGTCAGAAGGTACAACCTCAGGAAGAATTGCGCCTGAAAGGTACCAGGGTTCCCAGCCAAAATAGGGTGGGGTTTTGCGCTTTGCGAAGAAGCATCTATAGGACAGGCATACACAAGCTCATTAAGAAAAAGCTGTCACTTAAGGTGAAGCTACAAGGGGTTCCATTGGCTATGGAACTGGATACGGGGTCTGCACTTTCAATCATTTCCATGCAAACGTTTAGGAAGATTTGTTCTGGCCGTGGAACTCAGGCCAAGTTGAGGCCTTCCGACATTGTGCTAATAGACTTTCAAAACTCCAGAGTGTGTGTTAAGGGGGAGGCCACCCTTAATGTACAGTATAAGGATTTTGAAGGTCCACTAGATCTGATAGTAGTAGGGGGTGAACGATCGAGTCTCATAGGACTCGATTGGTTTGAGGCCTTGGGAATACACGTCACAGGGCTCAATAGTCTGCAAACACTTGACCTACAAGAAGTCTGCAAAGAATTTGCAGATGTTTTCAGCCCCCAGCTGGGCACATACAAAGGACCCCCTGTGTCACTAAAGCTAGACCCCGCTGTCACTACTATTAGAATTAAAGCAAGAAGTGTCCCTTTTGCTTTAAAAGGTAAAATTGACACTGAGCTGGACAAATTGATTCAACAAGGAGTTCTAGAACCTGTTGACTCCAGTCCCTGGGAAACCCCCATTGTCACGCCTCTCAAGGCAAATGGGGACATTCGCATTTGTGCTGATTACAAATGAACTCTGAATAGGGCACTGCAGCAACATGCCTATCCTGTTCCTGTGGTCAGTCATATTCTGGCCTCCCTCAAGGGGGGGTGTTTTTGCAAAGCTTGACCTAGCTCAGGCGTATCAACAACTGCCTGTTGATGATGATGATGCTGTAGCTCAGACCATTGTGACCCATAGAGGAGCATTCAAGGTGAAGAGGCTACAATTTGGAGTAAATGTCGCTCCTGGAATTTTCCAAAGCGTAATGGAAAACACACTACGGGGTATACCAGGGGTTTGCCCCTATTTTGACGATGTCTTAATTGCAGGAGACTTTACACACAATTTAGCTGAGAGATTAAGGGCTGTCCTGTTAAGGTTCAGGAAAACGGGCCTCAAGCTCAAGAAGGACAAATGTAAAATTGGAGTGCCTTCTACTGATTTTCTGGGATTCAAAATTGATGCTACTGGAATTCACCCTGCTGAATCCAAACTGAAGGCTATTATGCATGCTCCTAGGCCAAAGTCTAAGGCCGAACTACAGGCTTTTCTGGGCCTTCTGAATTTCTACAATTCCTTTCTTCCACATAAGGCTAGTGTAGCTGAGCCTCTTCACAGGTTATTGGACAA